GGGTATCAAAAGATTTAGATAAAGAAAAATTGGATATCAAATTGGGGAGGAGGAGTATGGAAGAAGTGAATGTTTTCAGATACAGTGGTCCCTCGTTGTTCGTAATTAATCCGTTCCTGGAACCGTTACTATAAACGAAATTTACGATTTACGAATCAATTTTCCCCATAAGAAATAATGTAAATACAATTAATCCGTTCCTGACACCCAGAAGTATTAAAAAAAAAAAAATTTAACATGAAATATACATGTAGTACATAAACAATACAATGGGAAATGATGAATGAAACATTAACAGCATAACACTTACCTTTATTGGAGATTCTTCTTAGTGTATGGGAGACTGGAGGAGGAGAGAGAGTGGATTGTTTATAGTTTGGAAGGGGAATCCCCTTCCATCAACACCTCAGGTACCATTTGCTTTTCTGGGGTTGCTTCTCTTCTCTGTTTCTTAATGCCACTAGGACCACCTTGAGAGTCACTGGAGTCCTGTCTCACAAAATAACTGTGGAGAGAGCTCTGTTTCTGGCGTCTCTTTAACACTTCCCTAAAATGGCCCAAGACTTTGTCACTGTACATGTTGCCAACCTGGCTTGCAACAACCTTGTTAGGGTGATGTTTCTCCATAAAGCTTTCCATCTTACTCCACATAGTAAAAATCTCTTTAATTTCTGAAGAAGGCACCTTCTTCCATCTCTCTTCCTCCTCCTCTGCAGCAAGATTCTGAGCTGCGATGTGTTGCTCTTCCTGCTGAAGCTCTTGCAGCTCCTCAGTGGTGAGCTCTTCATTGTGGTCTTCCACCAATTCTTCCACATCCTCCAAACTCACATCCAACCCCATGGAACTCCCCAGTGCCATAATTGATTTTACAACAGACATAAGCTCATTAGGGTCAGTCCCAAATTCTTCAAAATCCCTCTTGTCAACACAATCTGGCCACAGTTTTCTCCAGGCAGAGTTCAAAGTCCTGGTAGTCACTCCCTCCCAAGCCATACCTATAAGGGTTATGCAGTGGAGGATGCTGAAGTGTTCTCTCTAAAATTCCCTTAGGGTCAAGTGAGTGTCTGTGGTCAGTCAGGCACCTGTGAAACATTGCTTTTGTGTAGAGTTTTTTAAAGTTTGCAATAACCTGCTGGTCCATGGATTGGAGGAGAGGAGTGGTATTCGGGGGCAAGAACTTTACTGTGATGAACCCAAACTCCTCGAAAATTAGGTCATCCAAGTTTGGAGGATGAGCAGGTGCATTGTCCATTACTAGCAGGCACTTGAGATCCAATTTCTTTTCCAGGAGATACTTCTTCACACTAGGGCCAAACACTTCATTGAACCACTCGACGAAAATTTCCCTCGTGACCCATGCCTTACTATTAGATTTCCAAAACACACACAATTTACTCTTCATAACATTGTTTTTCCTGAACACTCTGGGATTTTCAGAATGGTACACTAGTTATGGTTTCACTTTGAAATCCCCACTAGCATTAACACAGAACATTAGCGTCAGCCTGTCTTTCACAGGCTTGTGTCCTGGCATTGCCTTTTCCTCTTGTGTAATGAAGGTCCTCTTTGGCATTTTCTTCCAAAAGAGGGCTGTTTGTCACAATTGAACACTTGTACAGGTTTCAGTCCTTCAGCCTCTATGTACTCCTGGAATTCATGCACATATTTTTCAGCCGCCTTGTGGTCCGAACTGGCAGCCTCACCATGCCTTACCACACTGTGTATGCCAGTACGGTTCTTAAATCTCTCAAACCAGCCTTTGCTGGCCTTAAATTCACTCACTTCACCACTATTTGCAGGCAATTTCTTTACCAAATCTTCATGCAACTGCCTAGCCTTTTCACAAAGAAACGAAGTCATAAGAGTATCTCCTGCTAATTGTTTCTCATTTATCCACACCAATAATAACTTCTCAACCTCTTCCAGTACTGGTGATCTCATTTTTGTCAGCATAGTTACTCCCTTTGCAACAACAGCATCCTTTATTTCATTTTTCTTGGCCACTATGGAACATAAGGTTGTGTAGGGTTTCTTATACATCCTGGACAGTTCGGCCACACTTGTACCACTTTCATATTGTTCAATGATGGTTTTCTTATATTCAATCGTATTTCTCACCTTCTTTACCACAGGCTTGGCACTAGGAGCTTTCTTTGGAGCCATGGTAGCTTATTTAGTACTTGCAAGCACTAAAATAAATGGAATATTATGAAATATTTCGCTGGAGCACGTGAGGGGACCTTCGCTCACTGGTAAACAATGCCAGATTGGCTGCCGCCCTGGCTCACGCCGTGGGTACGCGTCCCGGACAAACTACAACTCGCGAGTCAACCTATGAAAAGCGAGTCCATGTTTATACGAAAATACCCCTATGATTGGCGAATTTTACGATTGCCGGGAACTACGAAAAGCGGGGGACCACTGTACATGTACTTGGGAGTTGACGTGTCGGCGGATGGATTTATGAAGGATGAGGTTAATCATAGAATTGATGAGGGAAAAAAGGTGAGTGGTGCGTTGAGGTATATGTGGAGTCAAAAAAACGTTATCTATGGAGGCAAAGAAGGGAATGTATGAAAGAATAGTAGTACCAACACTCTTATATGGATGTGAAGCTTGGGTGGTAAATGCAGCAGCGAGGAGACGGTTGGAGGCAGTGGAGATGTCCTGTCTAAGGGCAATGTGTGGTGTAAGTATTATGCAGAAAATTCGGAGTGTGGAAATTAGGAGAAGGTGTGGAGTTAATAAAAGCATTAGTCAGAGGGCAGAAGAGGGTTGTTGAGGTGGTTTGGTCATTTAGAGAGAATGGATCAAAGTAGAATGACATGGAAAGCATATAAATCTATAGGGGAAGGAAGGAGGGGTAGGGGTCATCCTCGAAAGGGTTGGAAAGAGGGGGTAAAGGAGGTTTTGTGGGCGAGGGGCTTGGACTTCCAGCAAGCGTGCATGAGCGTGTTAGGAGTGAATGGAGACGAATGATACTTGGGACCTGACGATCTGTTGGAGTGTGAGCAGAGTAATATTTAGTGAAGGGATTCAGGGAAACCGGTTATTTTCATATAGTCGGACTTGAGTCCTGGAAATGGGAAGTACAATGCCTGCACTTTAAAGGAGGGATTTTGGGATATTGGCAGTTTGGAGGGTTATGTTGTGTATCTTTATACGTATATGCTTCTAAACTGTTGTATTCTGAGCACCTCTGCAAAAACAGTGATAATGTGTGAGTGTGGTGAAGGTGTTGAATGATGATGAAAGTATTTTCTTTTTGGGGATTTTCTTTCTTTTTTGGGTCACCCTGCCTCGGTGGGAGACGGCCGACTTGTTGAAAAAAAAAAAAATTAGCAAATTGAGTTACGAGCTTGGTCACGGAATGAATTAAACTCGTAAGTCACGGTAAGACTGTATATGGAAAACGCACTTTGCATTTTTAATTAAATTATATTAGTCTAATATATTGTAGATAGCAGATGAATTTAATGGGCAAGTTGTACAATTTATAATTAATGAAGTTAGTTATGTATGTAGTATTTGGAAAGATTAAAAACTTGGAAGCATGTCCTGGCTACTGATTGGATGTTTTTAGGACTTGCAAGACATCCTGAGTAGTTTATGAACATCAATTTCTTATCCTCTGATCATCCATGCATTATCTAACCTTAACCCTTTCAGGATCCAGAGGCCAAATTTCAAAGTATGCACCAAGGTCCAAGAATTCAAAAAAAAAATTTTTGTTAGTTTTTCTTATGAAATGGTAGAGAATCTTTTTCTGAAGGTAATAAAACAAAAAGTACGAAATTTGATGGAAAATTGATGAAATTATGCTCTCGTGAATTTTGATGTGTCAGCGATATTTACGCATCAGCAATTTTGCCGACTTTGACTCCTATTTTAGGCCAATTACATTATTCCAGTTGACCAAATTCTTAGCTATTTCACTAGTATTACTTCTGTTCTATCGATTGAGCACAAGAAATCGCCAAGTCAACTGTTTCAACTACAAAATAGTGATTGGAAATTGGTAATTTGGCCAATTTAACACAAAGTTCAAAATATTCCAATTTCAAAATAGGATCCAGAATAAACAATGCAGGCATTCCTAGCACTAAACTAACATTTCCACTGTTCATTAGTTATGTTTTCAGGCTTTACAAATGAATTCCATTTTTATTTTTTATTCACATAATGAATTTTTATTCAAACCAAAAAAATAAGAGATTTACTGTTATGCAATATTGTAATAATTGTATAAATATCATCACATTTGTGAACGCATATTTGACCCACCAGCTGGCGTGTATTAGACGTGTGAGGTCATTTGTTTACTCTTGAACATCGGCAAAAATTTAACATTTCTGCTACTTTGCGCTCAGTTTCAAGCCATTTCCAGTACTAAAACCAATCAAAATCATCTCTATTTCTGTAATATATCTTCCATTCTATCAAATGACACCAAGAAATCGCAAATAGAACTATAAAAAAACATACGAAAAAATACTGCAAAGTCACCGTTTTAATCGAAAATTATGGTCTCAGTTTTTTCTCTCATTATGCACTGTGTGCTGCAGGATTTGTTATGAGGTGCACACATACCACACAGATATATTCTCTCATATCTAGGCCCAAATTTACCACTCACAGCTTATCAGAGTGAGCTGAGCTCATGGTGTAGATCTACGGTTTGGACCCTCAATTCAAAGCTGTAGAACTACGGCACGGACCCTGAAAGGGTTAATGGGATATTTATTTTTGTTACTGTATGTGCTTGCTGTTTTGATTGGTTTTTGTGTTAATTTTGGTTTGCAGACATTAATATGGTTATAATTAATATTATATTGCCAAAAGCACTGAATGTAACGTTTATACATCAGTGTCTTTTTAAATTAAACAACTTTTTTTTACATCCACATGGAGAAAAAATTCACATTCACATTAAAATACACCATAAATATTTGAATTTGCCAGAGTATATTGCATTTGTTTGATAATAACTTCATTTTTAGGTATGGCAATGGATGAGCGAGCTGTGGACATTATCAAGATACAAAGTAAAAGTGTGGAGGGCATGGAAGATAGAAAATTCTCTGAATTTGATGGGACAGAATCCCACATATTTGCTGATTTTGGTAAAATGGAAAACGAGTATTGTAATGATCTTATTAAAAGTGGAGATAGCACTAAATCAGAGCAATGTGATTCATTAAAGAGAATTGATTTTGAGAAAGTTTCAAAGATAATCTCTGACAAAAATCTGGTTGCAAATTATATAGAAAGAGATTTAAGAGATGACAAAAGTATGACAAACAGCTATTTGGATGTGTCAAACAAACTGGATTATAGAGGAATTTTAACGGAAAAAATTAGCTGCTATAGAGAATTTGAGCAAAGTGAACATTGTGAATTTGGCAACTTCGACCCAGATATGAGCAAGGTCTGTAAGGATGTTGACACAGAGTCTACCAGAAGCTGTAGTGCAGGAGACAATGCTATCTGCGATGATGAATTGGACTCTGATGGTCACCCAACAGGTGAACGATGGCCTCCCCTTGGTGCTCCCAATGATGATGAAGACAACCAATCATTGTACTCATATTCAGAGCTTAGTTGGTATGTCTAATTGTTTTCCATGTCAAATGTGCCCTAATATCTAGCATTGTGGCTGCATTATCTCTCAACATATTCAATTTTATATGCACATTTGATATAACCCCTGTGTGATTTGTTTTCCAGTGATGTAATAGTAATCTTTCTTCTTTCAACAAACCAGCCATATCCCAATAAGGTAGAATGGTTCAAGAGGAAAAATAAAAATTTCTCCTTTTAAATTTAGTAATACAGTAGGGCCCCACTTATATGGCAGGTTAGATTATAGGCTACTGCCGGAAAGCAGACATTGCCGGAAAGCAGAATGCCATTTTTTCCACTTATAAATGCATATAAGCGCCAGATAACAACTTTACACTAACATATATTACGTTAACAATAGAACTAGGCATTAAAGACAATAAAAAGTAAAATACACACAGAGTACACCCATTACTTACCTTAAAAGATTTGTAGTCTTAATGTAGGGCGAGAGGTGAGTTTTATTTGTAGGAAGTCAGGTTTGGGAAGTATGGGTAGTCTGCAGGAGCAGCCCTCCCCACCTCACCCCACCCCTAAATGGCCAATATCCCAAACTCCTCCTTTACAGTGCAGGCATTGTACTTCCAACCTCCAGGACTCAGGTTTGGCTAATCAGTTTCCCTGAATCCCTTCACAAAATATTACCCTGCTCACACTCAAACAGCTCATCAGGTCCCAAAAATCATTAGTGTCCTTTCATTACTATCTAACTTGCTCACATGTGCCTTCTGCATGCCATACACACTTTAATTTGCTGTGCTGTCATTTTTATCATTTAACATTTTTCTCAATGCAACTCTTATCCCATATTTACACTAGAATGCTGTAGTTTAAGCTACTGGAATCCTGGCATCTATAATACAGGTACTCAGTAATATTTAGGCTATATTTTGTATTGAAATGTGTACGAGATGGAGTATTTTCTCTGCTACAGAACTTTATATTTACAGGCAGAGAGGGCATTATGGAAGAGGGTACGGGGGCAGTGGGGAGGAGGAGCGACTTCAGCAATTGGAAGAAGAGCAGGAGCAGCTCAACAACTCTCTGATGGCTCTTACCTCACATTTTGCACAGGTATTATCTTTGTCATGTATCTGATATGGGTAGTAAGTTGGCAGACAGCATCCATGCAGGGAGTTGTAGCAGATCCTCAACTTAAGATGTTCCAATTTATTTTTTTCCTTGCTTACAATATTGGCACATTGGAAAAATTAATTCCTTGTGAATGCTGATATCCAGTTATGATCATTTCAGATATTTAAAAGAAATTGCAGATTTTATTTTTTTTTTATCATATATGTACGTTCATATTTGTACGTTCATTTTATACATGTATACATGAAAGAGAATGGTTAAAAGCTCTTTAAGATTACTTAAGACTGAATTATAAAAAAAACATTTTTTCTTGGTTTTTATCAAATGTATTCATGCCTTGTGTGCTTATGCATGTCTAAAGAGCTCTCATTTCTTTGGTAGATAATTGTCAAGAACTATAATTTAATATTTACAATTTTCTTAAGGCTGTTATTATTCTTTCTCAGCTTTTTACCAGATGCATTGGTATTTTGTGCATTCTTTCTATGCACGTGTGGAGAGTTAACATTTTTTTTATAGATTAAGATTTGTAGATTAAATACGTAATGACATCCTGTGGTAGTCGCCACCTCTACTACCCCTGAACTGAACATTCACGGGTGAATCTCAGAACAGTGGGAGCTCGAGGCACACTCCCTCACACAGTCATCTTCATGTTTACCCTCGTGCTTTAAATACCCAGGCACTTTAGCCCTTACTGTAACAGTGAGTAAACTGAAAGCTTGTTCAGGGGTTTGCACTCTAGCATGATTTCTATTTTTTTTCTTTTTTTTACCTCTGAATATTTAAGGCAGAAGGTCGTCTTAAAAATTTCTACTTGCATTTAGTAAACACTTCTGTTTTTTACTCTTGTGTTTTGTAATGGTTCTTATTCTTGTAATATTTATTTTCCAATGTAGGAGGCCTGACCAGTTCGTGGGAGTAAGGATCCTTGGTGCCATTATCAGATAAAAAGATCCATTCACTTGATTTTAGTCCAGGCCAGGCTAAATGTCATCTAAAGTTTATTTCATATTATGGGTTTTGAATTCTAAATCATGGTATTGTGACTTTTATTCTCTTTTTTTTTTTTAGTGTATTAAATAGGAGTGAATGGAGGCAAATGGTTTTTAAGACCTGATGAGCTGTTGGAGTGTGAGCAGGGTAATTTTCGTGAAGGGATTAAGGGAAACCTGTTAGTCACACTTGAGTCCTGGAGGTTTGAAGTACAATGCATGCACTTTAAAGAATAAGTTTGGGATATTGGCTGTTTGGAGTGGCATCTAAACAGTGTTATCTGAGTGCCTCTGCAAAGACAATGATTGTGTGAATGATGGTGAAAGTGGTTTCCTATTTTGGGTCACCCTGCCTCGGTGGGAGATGGCCAATGTGTTGGAAAAGAAAAAAATGATACACCTCAGCATGTCTCTAGTCAAATTTTTATTCTGCTCCAAATGCTACATGATTCTAATAAATACAGTGGACCCCCGCTTAACGATCACCTCCCAATGCGACCAATTATGTAAGTGTACGTATTATGTAAGTGTGTTTGTACGTGTATGTTTGGAGGTCTGAAATGGACTAATCTACTTCACAATATTCCTTATGGGCACAAATTCGGTCAGTACTGGCACCTGAACATACTTCTGGAATGAAAAATATCGTTAACCGGGGATCCACTGTATTGTTATAATGTGAAATTATCATTAAAAGAATATACAGTGGACCCCCGCCTTACGATGGCATCATGATACGTTAAATCCGCCATACAATACATTTTAACGCAAAAAATTTGCCTCGCCTCACGCTAAAAAACTCACCTAGCGCGATTCGTCCGGGACACGTCCCACGTGTGGCCTGAGCAGTGCCAGTGTTTACAAGCAGCCAGTGCGGTTGCATCCATGCATACATTCAGTACATTTCATATTATCACAGTGTTTTTAGTGATCGTAGCTGCAAAATAAGTCACCGTGGGCCCCAAGAAAGCTTCTAGTGCCAACCCTGTGGTAAAAAGGGTGAAAATTACTATGGAAATGAAGAAAGAGATAATTGCTAAGTACGAAAGTGGAGTGCATGTCTCGGAGTTGGCCAGGTTGTATACCAAACCCCAATCAACCATCGCTACTATTGTGGCCAACAAAACGGCAATCAAGGAAGCGGTTCTTGCAAAAGGTGCAAGTTTGTTTTCGAAACAGAGATCGCAAGTACTCGAAGATGTTGAGAGACTGTTATTGGTGTGGATAAATGAAAAACAGATAGCAGGAGATACCATCTCTCAAGCGATCATATGTAAAAAGGGTGAGAAATACGTACTATCGTACCACGGTCAGGTGCTGCTGCACCACGGTCAGCTGTTGCTGCACCACAGCTGCTGCTGCACCACCATCATCTGTTGCTGCACCACGGTCAGCTGTTGCTGAACCACGGTCAGCTGCTGCTGCACCACAGTCAGCTGTTGCTGCACCAAAGTCAGCTGTTTCTGCTGCTGCACCACCATCAGCTGTACTACTCGAAGATGTGGAGAGTGTTGTCGGTGTGGCTTAACGGGAAACAATTACCGAGAAACAATTAACCCCAGATGGTTAGCCACCCAGGATAACCCAAGAAAGCCAGTGCATCATCAATGACTGTAACTTATTTCCATTGGGGTCCTTAATCTTGTCCTCCAGGATGTGACCCACAACAGTCGACTAACACCCAGGTGAACAGCAAAAAATGCCTGGAACTAGTGCTCATATTGGTGAATTTAAGGCCAGCAAAGGTTGGCTTGAGAGATTTAAGAATTGTAGTGGCATACACAGTGCGATAAGGCATGGTGAAGCTGAAAAATTCTAACCCCAACAAGTGTTCAATTGTGACGAAACAGGCCTGTTCTGGAAGAAAATGCCAAACAGGACCTACATTACTCAGGAGGAAAAGGCACTCCCAGGACACAAGCCTATGAAAGACAGGCTAACTCTCATGTTATGTTGTAGTGCTAGTGGGGATTGCAAAGTGAAGCCTTTACTCGTGTATCACTCTCAAAATCCCAGAGTGTTCAAGAAAAACAGTGTCTCATCACTCATCAGTACTCTTCAATAAAGGTAAGTGTCATTTTAACATTTATTTATGTAGTTATTGTGCATGTCTCATTGTTTTCTTTGTAGGGAAATGTATATTTCATGAAAAGAAATTTTTTTAATACTTTTGGCTGTCTGGAACAGATTAATTGGATTTCCATTATTTCTTATGGGGAAAATTAATTCGGCTAACGATGAGCTCTCAGGAATGGATTAATATCGTTAGGCGAGAGTCCACTGTACTGTACGTATTAATTTTAGTTTTGTTTAAAATGCTGTGCATCCTATGGGCTTTTCAGAAAGTTTCATTTTCAGTTTAAATCCTGCTTAAATAATTAATTTCCAACTAATACATTATTTACCAAATAAAAATAAAAGTGGATTTTTTATTACCTGGTGATTCAAATTTTTCATATGTTTAACTTAGGATAATGTATGGAAGAAAATGTTCTTATTTAGGTGAAATGTATCTATTGTAGGATATCTTGTAATATACCCTAGTGTTTTTTAAGAAAAAGCAACCTTATGGGCATACATTCTCATAATTACACATCACAGGTTCAATTTCGGTTAAAGCAAATTGTAGATGCTTCACCGGAGGAAAAGGAGATTCTGCTTCTCCAGCTTGAAGAGTTTGCCAACAGAGGCATTCCTGACTTGAGAGATGTGTCCGTGCGCAGAAAGTCGGCAGTCAGTGAACATGTAAGTTGCCTTTTAACTGTGTTTGCATTACATGAGGGCCCTGATTATATGGCTGGTTAGGTTCCAGGCTACTAACGTAAAGTGAAAATTGCCCTCGTTTTCACCTATAAATGTGTATTAATGCCTGATAAAATGCTTACACTATCATATATTATGTATACAATAGAACTAGGCCTATAAAAAACAATAAAACAGTAAAATGCATATACAGTATGCTCATTACTTCCCTTAAAATATTTTCATCTTTAGCTTATAGTGAGTGGCGAGTAGCATTAGCCCTCTAGCAAGAAAGTTAGCCTGTCTTAATTATTTGTACAGGAAGGCCCCACTTATACGGCGGGTTAGGTTCCAGGCTACCGCCGTAAAGCGGAAACCGCCGTAAAGTGGAACACCCTTTTTTTCCACTTACAAATGCATACAAACACTAGATAACAAGTTTACACTAACATATATTATGTTAGCAATAGAACCAGGCATCAAAAAACAATAAAAAAGTACAATACACACATAGTGCACTCATTACTTACCTTAAAATATTTATAGTCTTAATCTAATGTGAGACAAGTAGTATTTATTGTAAGAAATCAAGTGTGGTATGTATTGTAATAGCCAGGCTACCTCACCAGGCCACCCCACCCACACATACTATTCTATGATATTTAAGCATCCCAGAGCGATAAAATGTATATACAGTTCACTCATTACTTACCTTAAAATATTTGTAGTCTTAATGTAGGGTCAGGAGTAAGTAAATGAGATAAAACGAATAAATGAGAGAGAGAAAGAATGAGTACATGAGAGGTAACAGGCGCAGAGTTATGTAAACAAACCAGGCTCCCACATCTTATATTTATGTTTATTTATTCTATTGTGGGGTGTATTTATCATCTTTTTATGTTATGTATCGTGTTTATTATATAATTTTGAAAAAAATATCATGGATGGATTAATGAAAATGTGTATATTACCGTAATATACGACATTTAATGAGACTCGGTGACTATTGTTATTATGGCGTCACTTGTGGAAGTCGTCTGCTCACATCTCGCATTTATGTTTATTTATTCTATTGTGGGGTGTATTTATCATCTTTTTATGTTATGTATCGTGTTTATTATATAATTTTGAAAAAAATATCATGGATGGATTAATGAAAATGTGTATATTAACGTAATATACGACATTTAAATGACTCGATGTATGTAAGTTTATTTAGGTACAGGTATACATAAGTATAATTATCAGAGTATATATAAAATATGAAATAACTTTTAAAAACATTTGAAATTTTGGAGTTTCCAGACAAAATGGAGAGACTTAGTGCTTACTGAGCTCATGGAGAATGTAAACAAACAGGGTGGGGCACGGTGACCGTATTAGAAAGTCAGGTGGGGGGAGCCGTATAGTGAGTTTTGGTCATAATTTGAAATGTCCGTATTAGCGGAACGCCGTAAAGTGAAACGCCGTAAAGCGGGGCCTTCCTGTACTTAACAGTATGTTTTTACTTGTAAAACTACTATTTTTTTTTTTTTATACCAGAAAAAGATTGTCTTTTACAGCTTTGAAGGCAGGCATTAACTTCTCTTCTTTAGCAATAAAAGTCTTAGAGCATCATCCACATTAAAATTATGTTTGGTATATCTACCACATTCAGTTATCCCAGCTTGCTCATGTTGATCATTTTCTGCAGCTACAGTATTGGCACTTGCTGCTTCACCCTGCAGTTCAGTGCTGTGAATTTGGCTTCTTTCCCTAAAACTTTTAAACTAGCCTTTGCTTGCTTCAAATGTTTCTTCAGCATATATTAAGTGTGCAGTAGAGCTATGCCTAAAAAACAATATGAAAATAAAATAAATGTAAAAATTGCCAGAATACAGACAGAGCACACAAATTCTGTAAACAATGTTTTAGGTGAACATATAATACACACAGTCAGATCGACTCAGATGAACACGGATTAATCTGGCAGTTGAACAAGTATTGGATGTCCAACTGGGAGTGACTAGTAACTTTAAAATTATTTTTGCATTAATGCACTACAGCAACATACCCTGGCTCATGTCATAGATGGATTAATAAAAATGTTTATAATAATGTAATACAGTCTCTCCTCTCTTAGCAATGTACTCGTTTACCAATCACTAAGTTACAGTACATCCAGCTCTCCACCCAATATGCAAACCTAAATAATGTATATTAGAGTTGATTTCCTCTATTCTGTTTATCATAGTATACAGTACACTACTATAAACACTTAAAAATGCTGTATACTAAAAATGTTATAAATGGTGCAAAAGTGACATTAAAATAATATCTAAAGATAGTTGGCACAAACCCATCACCAGTACAGTATGCTCCTCATTTAACAACCCATTCATTTACCGACCTACTCTTAGGAACGGAACTTGGTTGTTAAGTGAGGAGAGGCTGTATATGACATTTAACCCTTTCAGTGTCAAGACCCCTGATCCTTAACCCTTTCAGGGCCCCCAGACCCTCTCAGAAACTTGTTCTCAGGGTTGCCAAAATTTCCAAAAAAAAAAAAAAAAATTTTCTTATGAAAAGCTAGTTTTTTTTTTTTCTAAACATTATAGGCTAAACAAAAAATTTTTACCATCAATACTTACCGAGATATGGAGGCGTGAAGTTGACAGAAAATGCCCCATATATTGTAACATCGCCGACTGCTGTCACCCGGTATTACTTTATTTTGTTTTTTAGGTACTGTTTTCTATTATTTTTTAATTTTTTTTTCCAAGTAATTTTTATGGCCTGTGAGACCAATATGAGCACTATTTTATAAGTTTTTTATTTTCATTTACTACACAATAACTGCACAAACACTGTTGTACTTATATTGTTTATAATTGTTGTTTACACACACAAACAATATAAAATGTTGTTTATTACTATTTTTCTATATTTTATATATACATATACAGTCACAGGGAGTGTTGCTATAAGTTCTGCAGCCTGTGGAAGTCTTTGAAACATGGTGTCATGCACAGTGGTGTTTTACACCCCTCACACATAAAACAAGTGTCTCTGCATTATTGTGGCATTTTTTTGTATGTGCACAGACATAACACATCTTTTGAGCCTTTTTCTTGAAAGCAGTAACAGGCAGTTTTACTAGGAAGTGATCACCATGCTTCAGACGAGAAGGTAGTTGTTGATAATTTAGTGGGCGGTCTATTGCAGGTGTTGTTCCTTGGTACTTGAATACTATTTGTCTGATGATAGACAAACAGAATTCGTCATATGGTGGTTTGTTTCTGGTCCTCATCTTATACATATTATAAGCATTGAGCATGGAAATGTCCAGAAGATGGAAAAAAAGTTTTTTTTTTTTTTTTTTTTTTTTTTTTTTTATTAACACACTGGCCGATTCCCACCAAGGCAGGGTGGCCCGAAAAAGAAAAACTTTCACCATCATTTACTCCATCACTGTCTTGCCGGAAGGGTGCTTTACACTACAGTTTTTAAACTGCAACATTAACACTCCTCCTTCAGAGTGCAGGCACTGTACTTCCCATCTCCAGGACTCAAGTCCGGCCTGCCGGTTTCCCTGAACCCCTTCATAAATGTTACTTTGCTCACACTCCAACAGCACGTCAAGTATTAAAAACCATTTGTCTCCATTCACTCCTATCAAACACGCTCACGCATGCCTGCTGGAAGTCCAAGCCCCTCGCACACAAAACTTCCTTTACCCCCTCCCTCCAACCTTTCCTAGGCCAACCCCTACCCTGCCTTCCTTCCACTACAGACTGATACACTCTTGAAGTCACTCTGTTTCGCTCCATTCTCTCTACATGTCCGAACCACCTCAACAACCCTTCCTCAGCCCTCTGGACAACAGTTTTGGTAATCCCGCACCTCCTCCTAACTTCCAAACTACGAATTCTCTGCATTATATTCACACCACACATTGCCCTCAGACATGACATCTCCACTGTCTCCAGCCTTCTCCTCGCTGCAACATTCATCACCCATGCTTCACACCCATATAAGAGCGTTGGTAAAACTATACTCTCATACATTCCCCTCTTTGCCTCCAAGGACAAAGTTTTTTTGTCTCCACAGACTCCTAAGTGCACCACTCACCCTTTTCCCCTCATCAATTCTATGATTCACCTCATCTTTCATAGACCCATCCGCTGACACGTCCACTCCCAAATATCTGAATACATTCACCTCCTCCATACTCTCTCCCTCCAATCTGATATCCAATCTTTTATCACCTAATCTTTTTGTTATCCTCATAACCTTACTCTTTCCTGTATTCACTTTTAATTTTCTTCTTTTGCACACCCTACCAAATTCATCCACCAATCTTTGCAACTTCTCTTCAGAATCTCCCAAGAGCACAGTGTCATCAGCAAAGAGCAACTGTGACAGCTCCCACTTTGTGTGATTCTTTATCTTTTAACTCCACGCCTCTTGCCAAGACCCTCGCATTTACTTCTCTTACAACCCCATCTATAAATATATTAAACAACCATGGTGACATCACACATCCTTGTCTAAGGCCTACTTTTACTGGGAAATAATTTCCCTCTTTCCTACATATTCTAACTTGAGCCTCACTATCCTCGTAAAAACTCTTCACTGTTTTCAGTAACCTACCTCCTACACCATACATCTGCATCATTTACCACATTGCCCCCCTATCCGCCCTGTCATACGCCTTTTCCAAATCCATAAATGCCACAAAGACCTCTTTAGCCTTATCTAAATACTGTTCACTTATATGTTTCACTGTAAACACCTGATCCACACACCCCCTACCTTTCCTAAAGCCTCCGTGTTCATCTGCTATCCTATTCTCCGTCTTACTCTTAATTCTTTCAATAATAACTCTACCATACACTTTACCAGGTATACTCAACAGACTTATCCCTCTATAATTTTTGCACTCTCTCTTGTCCCCTTTGCCTTTATACAAAGGAACTATGCACGCTCTCTGCCAATCCCTAGGTACCTTACCCTCTTCCATA